CCCCAAAACCCCAAAACCCCAAAACCCCATAACTTCACAAATTTATAGAATAAGTTTAATTAAAATGAAGAGTAAACGAGCGTGGTCACTCAAAGGTATGCTTACCACAAGACTCTTATATATAGATGCTGAAGCTGACCCTCAGCCCGATCCATCAAGTCTGAAGAAATGCCCAAAGCGAGTGTCATCTAAAAAGCTGAGCAGTACATCTCAGTAAGCTCTAGGCGAACATAATTAGATTTTGCGTAGTGAAGCATAAGCTAAACTACAGTGTTGTTCCCAATGAGAGGATCCAGGACAAGCTGAGGCTATTCTTAAAGCCTTATAACAGAGAATTAAGTTTAAAATAAATACATAAGTCCTACTGAAGAGAGCCAGCATAGTGATTATCACTGTGATAGCTCTCCTCGATGGGAAAATCAGCTCAAGAAAAACAACTGGGAGATCAAGCAGGGCAAAAACCGAGGCCGATGGAAAGGACTCTCGGATTTTGGTAAGCTTCACATGGAATTAGGATGGAGAAGACTTGGAATTAGGGTACAAATGTTTGGAAAGTTTAGAAACTTACTTTGGAATAAATGAATATATATAGAAATCTGAGGGTGCTTATTAATAGCTGGTTTATTATTTGATGAATCAAAATCTTGTCAATAAAACTTAAATTTTTCAAAAATTAAATTTTATCCTGTCCAATTTATCTGCTCATTTTTATGTTTGAGTTCGCTTTACTCTATTCCTTTATGATGTGATAACTTTTGCAGTCTTAAAAGAAGATGATAAAGTTTTCAAAATGGCTTTAAGCAACATCAATGAGGTATCTAATATTATTAAACTTCTAGGAATTACCCAAAAAGTAACGTGAAATTGTTAATACATCAGAAAGAAAAAGAAAAAGCTTACCTTTAATAAAAATTGATTAAATATTGCTACTCCGAAACAGTCTCCTGGCTCAAGCTCAGATAATTTCTTTCAACTAGTTTCATGTAAAGTTACATGCTTAATATCTAGCAACAAAGACTTCAGCTTTTTAAAAGAAATTTTGAAGGAAATAAGAGCGTAAAGGTTATTTCAACAAATAATCTCATAGAATACCAAAATCAAATTCAAAAATGTCAGGTTGACCAAAATGGATTATGATGCCTTTAATTATACCAAAAAGAACAACGATAGAACTACTTCTCAGTTTAACTTTCACGATGAGGTTAGAAAGCTCAATGCAAATACTAAGTTAAATCATTCCCTTATTCCTAAGGCTAAATCAAGACTAGGAGCCAGGTATTATCCTCTTATGATTATTTAGGAAAACAACTTTGCTTTTAGGTGTGAATAACGGAAAAGATTTTATTCGATACTACCCTGCTCAGGATAATTCTGATTACTTAGTACTTCTGCCTCAAACCTTTAGCACCTGCGTAATAGCCTGAGACCTAAATTAACTTTCTCATCTTTGGCTCCTATGAATCCTAGCATCAGTTATTCTCAGACTCCAACAGAGTTTGGGAAGAAAGGCATTAAGGAGTCAAATAAAGTTAGTCGGACTCCGAACACAAGTAAGTAGTGCAGATCCTCAAGGTTCAAAAACCGACCTTCAGCTTGCTTTATGCAGGCTAATTCCAACTTTTGCTTCTGGATTGATAAAGTCTGCCAGCTTTGTCATCTAGGCAAAGTTACAATACTTTAGAAAATAAGTAATTGAATATTACGCACACAACATAAAAGTTTAATGAAATACAGCTCATGCTTTCCTTTGCTTAATATCTTACAATTAAAATACTCAATCATTTAGGTTCAGCAATGCTCAAAATTAAATCTCAGATAAAGATGCGAGATGCAAAAATAGAAGAGGTCAAAAGAAAATGAATAATCGAGCAAGTTAAAACCAAACTTTCGGTCAAAAATATGAAAATAAAGAGCTCACCTAACAGATCTCTAAACACAAAGAAGAAGTTAAGAATTAATAGTGAAAGAGGTAAAACTCAGTACTAAAATATTAGAAAATAAGCACATAAAGAAGTCATTGTTGTTAAATAACATAAACTCATTTATTTAATTCAATGATATTTCGGATATCTGGGGTTTTGGGGTTTTGGGGTTTTGGGGTTTTGGGGTTTTGGGGTTTTG